AGTTCTCGCGGCCCTTCCGCGACAGCAGCGGCGGCGGCGATGATGTGCGAAACCTTTGGCTCGAGCGTACGGAACTGATCACGCGCTTCCCCCTGCCCGGAATTCTGCGCTGGTTCCCCGTCGTCGAGTCCATTACGTTCAAGATTTCCCCTCTAGAGCGTGCAGTGGAAATCATGAAGGACACGAACCGGGACATTAGGCAGCTGGTAATCCTGCACAAAAGCGACGAGACGCTGCACATCAATCCGCTGAGCATGAAGCTTAATGGGATCGTGGATCCGGCCGTGATGGGAGGCTTCGCCAAGTACGAGGAGGCCTTCCTGACCGACGAGTATCTGGAGGAGCATCCCGATGACAAGGATCTGATTGAGGAGCTCAAAGAACTGATTGCCACGCAGATACCGCTGCTGGAGATAGCCATTCTGCTGCACCGACAGAAGGCGCCCGATAGCCTAAAGGCTATGCAGGAGCACCTGGAGAGCTGCTTCTCGGACATGCAGCAGCACGTGGAGACGCGCTACGGCCGGAAGACCTGTGACCTGAAGATTGAACGCGATTCGGTGGTGATGCGACGCACCAACTCCTTTCTGCCGGCCCTCTTCGATGGCGGCTGCAATCGTTTGTCGGAGACTAGCATGGGATCCTCAGAGTAAGTCCAAATGCAGTCCCCCCATGCGGTTTACTAATTCCCAGTTCCCTTTCGCCAAACTGCAGCAGCGGACTGTCGAAGTCAACCATTCTGCCCAGGCCGCCGACCAACTCCATCAAGTCCACGCTGGCCAGCCTGAGTTTCAACACGAGGTGAGTGGCAGAGCCCCCCGGAATGAATAAATGAATGGAATGCACTCCCTCCTAACCAGAAACCTTTTTTAACTCTCTCTTTTATCGTGCTAATTGCTTGCTTTTAGTTTGAGAATTTAATTTGTATTTGATTTTGATTTTATGATTAAATTTTAATTTTATTTTAACTTACGTTTTGTTGCTTTGCTGCTGCTGCTGCTGTCCCACCCCGCAGGCCCAGTTTGGGACACTCGCCAAGCACCAAGAGCAGCAAGAACAAGGACAAGACACCAGCCAAGCGGCGGTCTATGAAGAAGGTACAAAAACATAGCTTATGCCATCAATCATTAGTCTAACTCTGATCTCCCTTCTCCTCATGCAGGATCGTGAGGCGCTTAGCTTTCCCAGCAGTCAATGGTATACGCCGCCATTGACCACCATTACCTCGACGCCCGAGAAGGAGATTAACACGTCGATAGGCTCGCTGGCCAGCGCTTCCAACAGCTCGTTGAGTGGCCCGAAAACACCAGATCCTCATGTGCTGACCGAGGAGGTGAAGTTTATAGGAAATAACCCTGTCCTACCCCATTTGCTAAAGTAACTCCGTTTTTAGCTGACACCAAAGCGGCCTCTGCGCTCCGAAAAGGAGAAGGAACGTCGCCTCTCTAGGCCTGCCAGCATTGCCACGCCCACGGCCAGCATCAAGAACTTCCCCAACGACACACGCTCCCTATCCGAGAGCAGTAATCGGAATTCAGTTGGTAAGCTTGACACCAGTCCACCTGTCCCGAAGGGATATACAACTCTCACCTTTTTTGTTGTCGCAGAAACTACAGATTCCACGTCGGAGGAGGACATTAGACCGCCGCCTTTGCCGGCCAAGACACGCGACTCGACCGATTTCACAAGCCTGTCACACAACCTGGACTGGACACCGAATAGCTATGCGATGCTCAGCACTCAGACCAGCTTCACCAGCAACAGCAGCAGCACGAACACGACAATGACAAAGACCAGTATTACAAACAGCACGTACGAGTATCTGGAGGCCACGAACTTTAGCCTGGTGGGTGCCGGCGCCGCCTCACCAGATGCCAGTAAGCCGCGTCCCCCAACGCCGCCGCCGAAGCCATCGCGGCACAGCAAACACATTCCATGAGGGACGACGACGGCGAGTTCTGCTCCCAGTGCAAGTGCCAGCAGCAGCAGCAGCAGTAGCAGCAACAGCGCCAGCGCCATATATACATATGTTCAAACGTTGTCGAGTGCCAAATATTCCTGTTACTACATACATATAGCATATAGAGAGCGTCGGCGGAGAGCAGCCCCAGCCAGAACGACCTTTGCCTCAACCACATTGACCGCCTACCAAATAGCCAACGGCAGAGCGCCGCAGAGCAAGGAATCAAGTGTCTTAACGAACGATCAGATCAGATGTATCCGATAACTAATAATGTTTAGGTTAGACTTTGTGTTAAGTGTTTGAAATGATATTATGTTGAACATGTCATCATTTTTCGTTTAGTTTAGAAATTCGTCATGTAATTTGTTTCCGAACAAAGCCCCAAAAGCACCCACTACTTGTCTTCCACAAGTTTTAGATATCTTTATATATTATATATGTACACGTATTTACATGTAGTCCATAATCAGACGAGCGCCTGCTTCTGTCGGCAATTCGAAGGAACAAACAAGTGCCACAATCTTTATACACAATAAGCTTAAATCACGAGCATATGCATGCATGTCTACAATTTTATAAGACCAAAAACAAAGGGTTTTTATTTAGAAAAATTATGTACGACGAGTACCACAAGTCAATTACGAAATACGAAATGCGATATGCAAGTTTTTTAAATGTTTACATTAGAACAATTTTTTAAAGAAAGATCATGAACTATTTACACTGTTTTTAATACGATTCAGAATATAGCCATATATGTAATCCACTTGTCGCACTGCAACCGGAGTAGCTTCTCCGAGTGTGCCTGTATTTTTAGTCGGAACGTGAACAAATCAAAATTTTATAATTTCATTATAATTAAACTATTCGTGTGTAATAACGTACGTATTTCGCGATCTGTGTATCGGCCAAAGATTAAGCAATAATAAACCTAATACCTAAGCGTACAAATCGTTCGATTTACTGCGCCAGTAACCTGTCCATCTCTTTCAGCTCTTTTTAGCACAGAAGAGAGAAACATCTTAAATCCCCCTGTTTAATTGGCTTGCATATTTGTCACCTTGGTTGAAATCCCAACCTGTGGAACCGCCACGTGTGATTTTTTCTGTACCTCTAGTACCTCTCATCAGGATAATGTTTCGATGAAGATGGATCACACATTTCAGTCCATTTATTTTCCGCTTTCAGCTTTTGTGTTCCCAAGTATCCCTAGAAACACGGACAGATAATTGAACCAAATAATATCCCCCTCCAAATTCTTCGACCTTGATGACACGCATTTTTATACCCGATACTCAAAATGAGTATTGGGGTATATTCGATTTGTGGTGAAAATGGATGTGTGTAACGCCCAGAAGGAATCGTTTCCGACCCCATAAAGTATATATATTCTTGATCAGCATCAATAGCCGAGTCGATTGAGCTCTCTCTGTCCGTCCCTATCAGCGCCTAGTGCTCAAAGAGTATAAGAGCTAGAGTAACAACATTTTATATCCGAACTTCTGCGATATGTCACTGTTACAAGTATATTTCAAAACTGCGCCCCGCCAACTTCCGCCCCCACAAAGGGCGAAAATCTGTGGTATTCACAATTTCAAAGATTCGAGAAAACAGAAAACGCAGAATCGGAGAGGATGACTATATCTTCTAGAGTGCAAAATCTGAGCCAGATCGTATAATTATTATAGCCAGAATCAAGAAAACAATTTCATTCTCTCTCGCTCTGTCTCTCTCTAACACACAGGTTTCATGGTCGGCTTGAGTACTGCAAAATGTGAGTTCAAGGATCTCAGAGACTATAAGAGCTAGAGCAACCAAATTTGGTATCCACACTCCTGTGATAAATTATTATTTTTGATTTTTATTGTATAATTATTATTATACCCAATACTCAAAATCAGTATAGGGGTATATTCGATTTGTGGTGAAAATGGATGTGTGTAACGCCCAGAAGGAAGCACTCTTTGTCGTGTCGTGCAATTAGCGTTAGCGCCGTCTGGTGGAGGAGAGCCATACTGACTATATATCGGGTATAAATGTAGAGTTGCGGTCGCCGCAGCCACTCACAACGTTACCCCTCGTTTTTCCTCTGACTGTTGTATAAGTTGCTCTAACAGTATCAGCAAGCAACATCATTTGTGTCAGTGATATTATTTTATAATGAAAAATACAATCCTAATTATGATAACATTAAAATCCCGATATACCCCTGAAAACTATTATTCCGCAAGGAGTACCTAAAGACCCAGAATGAGCAATGAAATTATTTACTTACCCATCCAAGCTTAAACACTACTCAAATCAACTGCGAACAGTTCAACGTCAGTGGATAGTACCTTTGGCATATAGATCAAAGAGAATCGGCGGGACAATAGCCTCCTAAAATCTCAATATAATGAAACATGCTGCACTGCATTGTTGCAAATTTCACGTTCTCCCCGCAAACAGTTCCACGTATTTTGATATATTGATCCATATAATTTGTTAAAAAATAAACTTTTATTCAGAACATATAAATCGTTGGGGTTGTTAAGATTAGTAAAAAGCACGAAACCTGTTAAAATGAACACATTATCGAGGGGCGGATAAAGTTGTTGTAAAATGCCAGCAGCAATATTAATAGTAGTTTATGTATGGTACTAGTATAGATACCAGATTAAATAGATCCTGAAGAGGAAAAGTCTTAAGATTATTAGAGGGTAAAATGGCTTTTGGTTTCTTCTGAAAAGGCACACGATAATAAAATAATACAGTTTTAGACGAGGTTAGGGAGGGTTAGGACATTGAAATGCATGGAATGTTCGTTGTTGTTCAGAGACACACAGCAGAGTCCTGAGAGGAGGGATTTGAGACCAAAGTTCAATAAAGACAGAGCGAGAGTTGGAGTTAGAGAGCATGGATCGCCTTGAGAGCTTATCAGAGGGCTTGATCAGATGTTCAGATTCAGATCCACGCATATCTTGGAGTTGCGGTTCTGCTTCTGACTTATCTCCAGTACTTGGAACATCTCCTTGAGGGCCTCGCTGGTGCCAGTCCTGCGGCGATTGCGGCGCCGAAGTGTAACGCCGCCCGACTTGAACTCCCGCACTAAAGCGTCAAGACCTGAAAGAGTACAGAGTGGAAGGATGTGAGAATAGTGCTTGGCCAGGCGCTCGCTTTTAGCCAACAAGTCGCTACAGAAGCTTATTTACCATGCGGTTAGCTGTTAGGAGAAGGACGCACCGTAGCCCAACCAGAAGGAGGTCCACACGGGTTGGCATACTCACCTTTTCACCTCTCGCCTTTAGCACAATCAATGGAGCAAGCGCTGGACTTTAAACTACAGGGGGGTGGAGGGGGTTCTTGGGTGGAGAGAGCATAAATCACCGACAAGGCCGGATGGGAACGGAACGGGTTGCCGGGCACTCGACAACTGTCACCGACGACAAATGAAGCAGAAGACGCATTGACTTGGATTCAAGAAAGTCAATGAAAATCTATGGTCTCCCCCATCTCTCCCTCTCTCTCTCTCTCTGTGTTTGTGGAGGATGGGGGCCAAGGTTTGTGTATAAGAAAGTGGCGCAATAAAACACGGAAATATAAAACGCACAAATAATAATAATAAGCCATAGCCCAACACAACAATGCGGCCTGGACCAGGCCCCTTCTCGTAAAAATAATAAATTGCGTCCTCTCCGCCATCGCCATAGCCATCCCCATCATCACCATCATCATCGTCATCGTCGTCGTCGTCGTCGTCGTCGTCGTAGTCGAATTTGATACGGCCCTGCCTTGTGCTGACAGTTTGGTCGGGGAAGAACCGTGGCTCTGGGGGAGGGGGGAGGTAACATAAAGCTATGAAGCGAACAGAAATATATGAAAAATGTGAACGCTTGGCTTGCTTAAAGCCAGAATGGAGTCCCTTCGGCGTTGCCAAGGAATGGAAGCCCACCAACAACGAACAACAAAAAAAGCATATTGCTCCAGTTCCCAGATTTCGCAGCTTCCCCCCAGCTTCAGTTTGGCTCAGTTCACGGCTCACACGCAGCCCAGGGGCACGGCACGGGGGGTGCCTCAAATCAAATTTAAGTTTTCAGTGCATCCCATGAAACCGGAAATGGCACTCAGCCTCTGTCTCCGTGACTCCGTGTGTGCTGGAATTCTACTCTTTTCTACTCTTAAAAAAGAGAATTTGCGTTGGGGGCGCTTAGCATAGGTATAGGTATAGGTATAGGTATATAGTTCTATGGCACAACGATTTGGCACAGGGCAGGTCATGGAGTGTCGGCGGGCAGTCCCCCCATTGAAAGTGAAGCTGTAGGAGGTAGCAGCAGCAACAACAATAGCAACTACTTGTTGTTATGTATGGTATGTACAGACGTATGTATTTATGTGGATACACATACATATAGTGGGGTGGAATTTCCAGCGCTTCGCTTTATCCGACCTCTGCAGACACCTCACCGTGGCCCGTTCCGCATCCCTATGGTTCATTTGTTTTTGCCACGACAACGAGAAGGACGACGAGGACGAGGACGACGACGAGGACGAGGACGAGGATGGCTTTGACGAGTGCGGCCAGGACACACGAGCAGCAATGATGCCTAGCTGTAAAGCTGATGTACGGCTCGCTGCCAGCTCAAACGCTTCATGTGCCCCAAGAGACGCGCGCGCTTTCCACGCTCCGCTCCGTACCGCTCCGCACTGCCACGGTAGAGGGCTCTATATCTCGTATATCCGCGCATATATATCGCCATAGTATATATCCTGTTCGTTTCGGCATTTTTCTGGCTTCCAACAATACGCGCGTTGATTGATTTTGATTTGAATGTGCGCTCGTTATGCCTACGACGCGTTGAGCGCGCCAAAAAGTAGGCAACGCTAAGGCGCAACAGCAAGCGCAACAAAGCGGAAACGGAAATACTTAGTGACAGAGCGCGCTGTCTCTACAAGTGTGAGTGGAGTGTGTGTGTGCTTGTGGGTGCTAGTGTGTGTGTGTTGTTTGTTTGTGTGTATGTGTATGGGTATGTGTGTGATAAGCATGGCCCTGACATTGTCTGAGATTGTTGTTCGGGTAAGTGGCCCTCCCATGAGATGGAATAAGTGACAATTGCATGTGACTGATGTAACAGATTTCCCCACTAATTAGTGGATAAAGATGGATATACATTAAGGTTTAGTCTCCCCGAATCGATATTTCATATTTATATATGTAGTATATAAGTCGATATGTACATATTTGCCCAAGGTATTGCTATTGCCTGGTGCATGCATAATATAATCGTGCACTTTCCTGGCTTGCTCTTGCTCCATCCTCAAACACTCAGAGCACACACAGAGAGAGCAAGAGGAAGCTATAGAACTATATAGTATATGGTGTTTGCACTCGTACAGAACAGAACAGAACAGAACATTTACTGTGTTCATGCGGGTCTCTGGACTGCTGCATTTGATTCCGCTTATCAAACAAGTGTCATATGCAGTGATGATATCTCAATAGTTAAACCACATCTCCTTTTCAATCCACAGGCCTTGAACTACCCTCAAAGTTGAGCTGGTGTCGGGGGGGAGCACAACCATATTTCTTACAATTGTTTCAATCTAATAAAGGCGGAAATTAAACGGCAAAGAAGGCCGACAAGTGCACAACGCACATACATATACGAATATATACTACATACATATATAGTACTTGTATATACTCGTATGTATCGCCTAACTCCCCCTTCAGTCGGCTTCGTTTTGTGCGGGAAAAATGTACTATGAAGTTATGACAAAAATAAAGAGAGAGAAACATGTCAATCCATCTCGCTCAGACACGCACACGTACACACACACGCACAGCAGGTTGAAAATCCAACGCTAATTAGGTTTTCACTAACTTTATTCCTAGAACCGAGCGCGTGACACAATAACGATCCCCACATCGAAACAAATTCACTTACAATGGCTACAAATAAAGGAGAATTTTCAATTCACATTCGTTTCGTATAGGACAGTGGTGGGGGGACGTCCTTGCTCGCAACTGCTGACAGGCAAGGCCCCGAGTATGTGTTGTACAAAAACAACATACATCTCGTGTGCATGAGGGGGCAGATTGATGCTCAACTTGAGACGCACAAGCGAGCCCCCGAGAATGTGTTGTACAAAAACAACATACATGTCGTGTGCATGACAACACGCACAAGCGAGACCCCGAGAATGTGGTGTACAAAAACAATATACATGTCATGTGCATGAGGGGTACATTTATGCTCGACTCGAGACGCACAAGCGAGTGCGACAAAGGAGAATATCCGATAATATTTAATACAAAAACAAAATACATGTCGTGTACATGACGCGGCACATAGATGCCGGATTCCAGGTTCCCTGAGAAGGGTTGTTCTGTTGTCTCCCAAAAATTTTAAAAAGCCCTCAAACCTCTCATTCTCCTAATAGATTTCATTAAATTTCCAGTTGAAGCTTTAATTTGAACAGCATCTCTCCTGAGCATCTCTATTGCCCCCTATTCCAGCAGCACGGCCTATTCCAGGGCAGCACTCACCTGCCCACCTCGAAAAGCTGCTCGCAAACTTAATTAAGAAGTTGCTGCTGCAGCAGTCAACAATGGATACTGGATACTGGGAGCGGGGTAGCGAAACGGAGAGGAGGAGGGCAGGAGGCGGTTGGGGCGGATGCAGTGAGCCGTAAAAGAAGCCGACACGACGTGTAGGTAAAATCAATTACAATCGCAGACGGGTTGCCATGTTGCGTGTCCCGTGAGCCGGAGAGGGGGAACCGTGGCCAGTGAGTGGCGTGAGGCATAACTGACAATTGACAGCAACAAGTTGGGGCCCTTCAGCCTTCAGCCAGATTCCCCGGGCACCGCCACCGCCACCGCCACCGCCACCGCCACGACTATGCCAGGCACTTGTCAACGCTCGGCTGGCAGGGATTAGCTGGTAACATGAGTGCCCAGCCACAAAACCGAATCATACAGGCCTCTGGCCAAAGCGAAAGCACAGGAGATGTTTTCGGCATTTTCCCTTCTATTTCGGGGCCTTTTTGTTTTTGCTTTTTGGAGCATTCCTGAGGTGGCCCAGAACAATGCCGAAAAAGCGGTTTAGGAGATGCACAGCTTTCGTTGGGAGCTGGTAGTCCATGCATGCACCATGAAACGCTTCGAATGCTCCACAAGACTTCTGCAGACTTTTCCACTTTCGACTTTTGCATAGTTTCTTCGACTCTACTCATGCATGGGGGCCGGTGCTCATCCTTGGGCCTGGCTCCAAACTTCTGAACAATGGCCTCTGAAAACTTGGGAAAATTGCCAAGAGATTGGCAATACCTAAAGCCCAATATCGATTCGAAAAATGAGGGGTAATTAAAACAAAAGCAGTCCCTTTTGGGACGTTGACACTTGGATGACTCTCCAAGGAGGCTGGACGGGTGGGTGGTTTTGTTTGTTACATACCTGTTGCTGCCTCGGCCTGTACCTGATGCTTGACGTTATCTATTATCTTATCGCTGCCCCTGCGCAGATTGTGGCCAACAATGTGATCGCTGAAGCTTCCCGTGTCGCCACCATCTCTACCCCCAGATGCCCCCAGTCCGGCCCTCGTCTGTGCCGTGAACAACAGTTTGCCCGGCAAAGGCGGCGGCGGCGGTGGTGGCAGTGGCGGAGCAGGTGGCGGCAATGGAGCTGCTGTGGTCTTCTCCTCCGATTGGTGATAGTGGGCCAGCTGCTCTTCGGCGAGATCGGCACGCGTGAGGGCCTCGCGCAGCTGCTCCTCGAGTATCTCCAACTTAAGTTGTAATTTTTTTAGTTCATCGTTAGTAGTTTTTGCTATAGCCGCATCCATTAGACATTGCTACAAAGGCAAGAAACAGAGAACGAGAGGGTAGAACGGGCGGGGAGCGAGCAGGAGGAGGCATGGGTGTGTGGAGGGTGGGGTAATGGAAAATTAGTAGATCAATCAAAGCATCTGGTTGGAGGGGGCAGGGAGGAGGTAAGTTAGTGCAAAGATAGATATCTAGCGGCAGCGACAGAGGCAGAGGCAGAGGCAGGTGCAGTTAGAAGCGACGCAGAGCCAGCGAATCGCTTACGTTTCCCAGAGATGGTATTGAACGGTGTGTGGATAGATGGTGGACAGTACCCAGCACCAAATGGGGCGGGGGTGGTGGTGGGAACAACAACACACCCGGCAGAAGGCAGCAGGGCGGAACATTCCCATGCACTTCTCATGTGTGTGCCATTCAGAAGTTGCAGCCGCTGTGTTGTGCTTCAGTTGCCGCCCTTGAACATGTTCGAGAGCGGCTTGAAAATGTCAAACACGCTGCGTGTTTGCTAATAGACCGATAGGATAGATACAGGACAGATAGATAGATAGATAGATTGTAGATACTAGCAGTACTCAGAGGGAGAGAGTGTAACCAGAACTCCGGACTAACCATTTCCACAATGCGCTCGTTGTGTTCGCGCGCCTGCTGCTGCACCTGATCCTTGATCTGCTCAAACTCCACCTGCTCCTCCTTCAGAGTGGTGGGCGAGGCACTAGGACTGGCACTGGTCCTCGCGCCGGGCTGTCCATCGGTCAGATCCCGTGTCTTGGCAGTGAGCTCATCGTTGCGCTGCTTCAGCTTGATCAGAGCACTCTCCATTCTGAGGTTCAGAGTATCAGAGATACAGGTTAACATCAGGAACTCCATCAACGAAAGGGTGTCTCTTACTTCTGACTGGTCTCCACACTCTCCTTCATGTTCTCCGTCAGCAGCTTGGCCACCTTGGTCAGGTTGCTGTTCTCCGAGCGCAGCGTCTCGTTCTCCTCCTCCAGCGAGTGTTGCTATCCACCGGAGGAAGCAGTAAGTATAGCAGATTCCTTCACCATTCTCCTCCTACTCACATGCTCCAACAGTTCGGCCATCTTCTCGTTGGCCTCGTACAGCTGTAGCTCCACGGCATTCGTGGCATTCTTGAGCGACAGGAACTCATCCGCCAGGCGCTCCACAAGGCCACTGGTGATTGACACACCATCCGCATTCACATCCACCAGGCTGTCCAAATCGTGATTGCCGATGCTGTCACCGCTGTCGGTGCTACCCTGCTGCAGGATCTTGAACAACTTTCGCTTCAGCTCCGCAGAGCCCAGGACCTGCTGGGCTGCACTACTACCCAGACCGGGCTCCTGCTCTAGCTGCTTCTCCCGCATGTGCTCCAGTTCGCTGGTGAGACTGTGAAGGGATTGACATGGGAATTTCACTGTGTGCTCCAATTTGTGTTCCTTTTTTCTACTCACTTTTGTATTTGATCGACCTTCATTTTGTGCAGCTTGTCCAGGGCGTTGCGCTCGTTGAGGGCCTTGCTGAACTTGCCGCCGAGCTCCTTGATTTGCGCCTCGAAGTTGGCCTGCTGCTGCTGCAGTGCCTCCAGCTGGATGCAGAGCTTCTCGTGCTGGGCCTGCTGTTCCTCCTGTGTGGTTTTATCTACAATTCATGTGGGGACATTCATGAGTAATCGGATCAGAGGGTGATATCTTTTGCTGCACAAACGGGTGTCAATCTCCAGCTTGAGGGCCTTGTTCTCCTCCTTCAGGGCAATGTTATCCTCCAGCAGGGTGAACATATCATGCTCGGGGTCCTGCTCGTTGTAGTCCGGCTCCCGGACGCGACTTCTGCTGCGTGTCTTGGCCTCCTGGGTGCGGAACTTGGCCACCGGTATGCGTCCGCGTCGCTCCATTCTGTGCTACTTCACTGCGGGGTACGGAAAATAAGAGATATTTAATATACTTGGCTAATTGGTGGAACTTAGACTGTGCTTACGTTTGCCTCTTACAAGCCTTAAAGCGTTATGTTATCCTTAACCCTTATGATAAGCCAATGCAAAATGTATCTTAAAAGCTGCCAATCACCAACAAATGCTGTGCGTGAATATGTGTATGTGTGTGTGGGTATGGGAATGAGATAGTGTGTGCGTGTGTGTGTGTGTGAGCTTCATGCGATTGTCCTTCCTGGGATTGCCGTGCTCCAGACCGCGGGGGAGTCAAAGTCCTGCACCCACAGTGAAAACGCCTTGCCATTTTACTTGTTCTTTTTATTATTTGCAGTTTACACAGTTTTCTTCTTAGTATTTCTCCTCTTCCCCCACCCGCTCTTCCCTCTGCTGCTTGTGGGTATTCCCGTTTTATATATGCACTATATATATTTATCGTTTTTGGGGATCTCTATAGTTTGGATCTCTATCTTCTGGCGCTCTGCTCTGCTCAGCTGCTGAAAGTGTGAAATGTGTCTGAGAAGGTGGTGGCTAAAACGCATTTGGAATGCCTGCCGAAATGTTGCTACGAAACTAAACATGCCACCACGCCCCCTCCTCTCTCTTTGGGGGCTTAGCCTTGTCTTAAACATTGTCTTAGCTTGGCTTTAGAAATAGTCGATTTCGAGTGCAGAAGCGTTTCATTTTGTATGGTATCCTCTTCTCCTGCTGTTATAATTCGGAATATTCTTAATAATATATTGTTTTTGTTTTTTGTTTTTGCTAATTTCTTATGCATACAACTTCCATATCCCATATCATGTCTCATCTTCGCCTTCGCCGTAAATAAATTTCAGTTTTTTTTGTCACTTGTAGTGTAAAAAATAAAAATAAAAACCTAGAGTTTGTACAAACACAACAAAATCTAGAGTTTCGTACAACTAATTTTCTTTTTCTACTCTTTTTTTTTTGCATCCACGTTAAATGTAATATATATAAATTTTGGAGATTTTTTGTTGATTTTTTTTTTGTTTGTTTGTTCAATTTTGTTTTTCACTCAATTTTATAAAAATAACTAATCGAAGGCGGCTTAGAGCTCTTTGTTTTTCTTTTTTCTGTTTTTCCTTGTCTCTTAATGATGTTGTGAGTGTTTCTATATGCTTTTACATTAGATTATTTTTCGTTTCGTCTTCCTTCTCTTAAATTTGGTTTAAATAGCTTTATAGTTAGGGGGTCGGGTTGGTTGTTTTTCTTCATAGACGATTCGGATTTAAGAATAGTGTATTTTTTCTTTCCTTTTTACAGCTAATTTCTTTAGATTTATCTTTGGATAATCAATCATGTATCATGGGTTTGTGTTATAAATACTTTACATGTCTTTACTTTTAATTTGTTTATAATTTACAATTTTTTTTTTTATACGTCTAGTATATTTTTTTTTCTTTCTTCCGTTCATCCTTTTTTTTTTTTTTTTTTTGTGTATAACCTTTTATCTGTTATACTTGATTTTTGTGGAGTTTTTCCGTTTTTGGATCGAACAGTAAGGACCTCAGGACTTGAGGCTTTAAATACAGATCTGTTTTTTGGAGAAAGGTTGGGTTTAAAGGGGATTTGGGGTTAATTTATCGGTTTAGGTTTCAGTTTCATTTTGAGCCGTTCTCGCAGAAATCACAATAATTAAACGTAGGCAATAGTTTTTTTATAATAATAATAAATCGAATAAACAAAACAACGCAAATTCATAAACCTTTGTACTGAAAGGTAAAAACTGAACAAAAGATTCGATTAAGGTCTAGAGAAACGTATACGATAAGCTATCAAAGATAGAGAGATAAAGGGCCAACGAAAGAACAATGTTCTCTCCTCAGCGGAAACAGAAAATTGTTTATAATCAACGAAATACTGTGGTTTACGAAAACAAAACGAATTGATTCCTATATATCCTATATCTATGTAAAGTATGCTATATATATACTCGTATATACTATACTGTATATCAGTTAATGTTTCATTTACCCTGCCTTGCACTGAACTTGAACTTTACTTTCTTCAATGGGAGATTCTTTTATACCATTTTCATTTTCTTTTTTATCTTTTCCATTTGCATTTTTATTATTTTTTATTTATTTGATTCTCGATACGGGTTTTGTGTGTGTGTTTTGTTGCTTTTTGGATGACCCTGTCATCGAACGAAAAGCGTCTTAACATCTCTTTTAAGGAACGTATTGTGATACAAATGAAATCATGAGCTCTTCTTGGCCAGTGGATGTTTCTGTTGTAGTTTCTGTTGCTGTTGTTGTTGGTGTTGATCTTTTCTGTTCTGTTGTTATGTTTTGTGTTTAGAAACAAGAAATTTCGAACTTGAACAACTAATTATACGTGTGTGTGTGTTGGTTGGTGTGTGTGTGTGTGTGTGTTTGGGGCATGCCTCATGACATGTTATTTGGGCTAATGGTTAGCGTCGTTGTATGATTATCTTCTAGACTTGCGACCGCGCTAGCTGCTTGAAATTGTTAGATTCTAAATTCTTGTTGGGTGTATCATCTTCTGAAGTCGTGTGTTTGTGTGTGTGTGTGTGTTTCCTCGTTGTTCTTGTAAATACGTTCTCTTTGGTGTTCTTCTATAGATCCCCGATGAAGCCGCGCAAATTGTCAATGAAGGGCCTGCGGTAACTGGATGAGTGTTCGACCTCCAGCTTGTACCACTTGTCGAAGGATTCCTTGGGTATCACCTCGGAGTCGTACAGCACGCTGAACGCATTACAAATGGTATCGTAGGCGGCCATCTCGTCCTCCAGCTCGGCCATGAAGTGCTCCTGCAGCGAGTCAACTGTCGCATCGATGCAGGCGATCTCCAGCGGCTCCTGGGCATCGATGCACAGACGCAACAGGGGCGTGCAGCGGCTCCTGAAGCACTCGGCGTTCAGCTGCAGCGGTTTTGGGCTACTGCCGCTCTTGCCGGTGGCCTTGTTGTTGTTGTTTGTTGTTGCAATCACAGTCAGTGCGAAATCACAGCAGAGGAATCGCGTGAGTTCCCTCACAAAGTCGGCGGAGACGCCGACATTGGTGTTTATGTAGTCAATGGCCATGTCGCCAGATTGTCCCAGCAGATACCTGATCCGACCCACATGGTCCTCCGGGGAGCGCTGCAGCGGCGTGAGCTTCACCCTCTGGCCACCAGTCTGGCCCTGGCTGGAGTCCAGGAAGTAGAACTTGTTCGACTTGACAAAGTCGCGATGCTTGCGACAGTCGCCCCAGAACATTTGGCCTCGATCCAGCTTGAGCTCGCTGTGCCACAGCTTGCGTATGTAGCCGGCACCGAACTCCCGCACGAAATAGTTGACGAAGGCAAATACAAAACGCTCCGTGACGTAGGAGTCCTCTTGCCAGCGGCGGTGCCAGATATCCTTCAGCTCCAGCCGACCCGCATGCATGATAGGGCCCAGGAACTCGAACACATACACCATGCCGTTGGGCACATCCACCAACAGGTCGGGCAGGTCTTCGGCAAATTTCGAGTAACCCTGAGCAAACGTCGCCTTGTCGATGGCCTCCTTGGCCATCAGGAACGCAAAGACATTGGCACAGGCCAGCCGCTCCTGCCGCTTCACTGTCGCCCGGTGCAGATAGTCCATAAGCAGGTAGTGCACCACGGCCGCGTGATACTTCGCCTGAAGCGACCGCCACATGCCCTGCACCTCTGGCTGCCAGTTGCGCTCGTTGAGGGCCTCCTCCACCAGCTTGGAAATCATCTCCTGGCACTGTTTCCCATCCAAGGTCGCGTGGATGTGCGACGGTTCCTGGCTGCTGTTTCTATTGCCAGGCTGTGTGGGAGCGCCAGCCGACGCTGGCTGCTGCTGATACGGCGAGTACGTGAAGTTCTGTCCCCCGGAGGCCGCGCGCTTTAAAAGGCTGGTGGGTTGCCCGCTCGACGGAGTGGCGCTCACCGGACGATTGCTGACACTGCGCCACTGGTACTGCGACGAGTTACCCAGCTTGGCGCTAGAGTCGTCGTTGGCGTTGCTGCTGCTGAAGCGCAGCTTGTTCGGATCGATGCTGAGGGCCTGGTTGTCCTGCTGCTGTTTGTTGTGCGATTTTTGCAGAAAGTAGTTGCCGCTGTCGTGGCCATGGCCGCCGCCGTGTTGATGCTGCTTTTGCTGCTGATAGTGCCCGCCGCTCTGTGGGCCCATGCTGAGTCGTCCCCCATGCTGCTGCTGTTGGTCCTTGGAGTCATCGTGCTTGTGGCGCTGACGGCCGCTCAGCTGCTGCGGCGTCACAGGCTGATCCCAGTTCCGCACGCGCAGGTCCAGCACATCCTGCATCATGAAGCGCACGCGGCTGCTTATCTTGAACTGCGGCTGGCGGTGCGACGTGCCACGTGAACGATTCACGATATCCTGAATGCGGCGGAAGATCTTCTCGTTGCGATCCCGTAGCTGGTACTGGTCGGGCAGGGTGGTCTCCAGCAGGTGGCCCACGGTGGTCAGCAGCTTGCACATGTACTCGAGCTTCTCCTCGCAGCCGTGCTCCAGCAGCGATTCCACGCAGTGCAGCACACGGTCGCTGGTCAGCGACTGCAGCTTGTAGAGCTCCCCAATGAAGCGAACAGTGCCCCAGGCGCGACGCCGAAACTGATACTCCAGGTCCTCCATCTCCGCCCGCAGCTCGGCCTTGCGGGCCGCATCTGTGCTCTGGTTCATCTTGTCCATGGTGGGCTGCAGCTTCTTGGTCTTGGCATTGGCGTCGTTTACATTCGACTCAAACTCGTGCTGAATCCGCGTGATGAGGGATGAGGTGAAGAGCGATTTGTTCTCGGCCTTGATCTCATGGAACAAAACCTTGCAGAATCGCGCATATGTGGGGGCAAAGTTCGGCTCACTGATGGTCTTCTCGAAGATCAGCAGCATGACCTGGAATGGGATTATTGAGAAGCTTAAATTATGTGGAAGAAAACCTCCTTGCGTTTCTTACATTCGTCATCTTGCTCTCGTTATCCATCTTGA